TCACTGTTCAATATCCGCTACCAATGCCTTATGTTGGTCAAGAAAGATGATGATGATTTTATCACGTTTGCCGGTGTTGTCAATCGAGAATGCGAGCGCTTCAAGCTCAGCTCAATGACGGAGAATATGTTTAAGTGCCTCATTTTTGTATCCGGTCTCCAGTTATCCCATGATGCTGCCATCAGAACCCGGCTTCTTAACAGAATTGAACAGGATCCCGAAATGACGTTGCAGAGACTCACCACTGAATGCCAACGCCTCATCAAACTGAAGCACGACACGGCTATGATCGATAAGTCACCTGTGACCTCATGCAGCTGTGTACAGGCAATCAACTCCAGCGAGCCCAGGAAATCCGACAAGAAGCCCGATCGAAGACAGGGTAAGCCTCCCAAGAGTTACTGACATTGCAGTGAGTAGCATTTTGCTCGTTATTGCCGGTTCAGGCGTCACAAAGTTTCCAGGTGCAGTCGTCACGGCCACAAAGAAGATGAGGAAAATACCCTTATTGCAGATGTGATGTGACGTGATTTGTTTTGTGTTGTGTTGTATTGCGTAGTGTTGCGTGAAGCTTTGTTTGTGTGTAAGTGGTGTGAATCTATTGAATGTGATTTACTAGTACTTACTGGTGCTTGGAGTGGTTATTTCCGTTTCGATTGTACTGGTAGTGTCGGTGGTGGTGCTGTCGGTGGGTGTGATCGTGGTCGTGATCACGGTGGATTCGGCAACTGGAACGGATTGAGTGTTGGATTAGGACGATAGTTTGTAAGGTTAGAATTGGTGTTTGTGTGTATTTTGGAGTGGGTGATGTTGTTGGTGAGGGTGTTGTTGTTGGTTTGTTCCATGTTGGTTCTGTGCGTGTTTTTGTGTTTGCTATTATTTTGATGTTTGTCGGGTTCTTTGTTGTATTTTTTCATTTAATTTTGAACTTTTTTTGTTTTAGTTCTCTCTGCGCGTGTTGGCGATCTTTCCGTTTAATTTTTGTTCAGCTTTTGATGCTCTATGCTGTTTTCGTCCCATGTTTTATTAAATTGTTATTTGGGTATTTTTTGCTGTGCATTTTTATCTGAGGTTTTTGGTACCCCCATGCTTTCGCCTATTGCAAGGCGGAACAATCATGTGGGACAGGGCCGTGCGATTACACACACGTCGTATACACGTCCGATTTCATCATGTGGTGCGCGAGAATGGTCAAAGTCGGGCACATGAATTTCACGCCCATCCCTTGTCTAAGGCACCGTGTACACAATCGCACAGACGACCATCTATGTTTAACCGAGACAACGTAACAACCACCCAGGAACCGGTGTGAGCGTGCAGGACACACTGTGTGGTTGAGAACATATCGACCATTCACGTCTGTGGCCTACAATCAACAAAGGGTGCAGATGTTCGGACCAGGTTACCGAATAAAATCGAACAGAACCCTGAAGTCGCACTGCAGCAGGTGTCTGCGGAATGCATATGCGTGGTGAATCTAAAACACGATACATCAATTATTCAATGATCTTCCAACGACAGCAATCACGACTGGATCTGTGCGGTCAATCGATTCAGTACATATTAGCCTTGTACCTCCTTCAGCATGTTGGTTTTGCAAGGAGTGACATTTCGCACGAAACTGTCCTTTTAGGAATCACATTTGTAACCGGTGTGGCAGAGGTGGCATCAGGGAATGTGAAGAACAACAACAGTTGTGTTTTCTCTTTTCTGATTTTCATTGTGTTCTATATTGTTATTTCGTGTAGTTTTGTGTTGCTGTTTGTAACTTTTGCTTTTCTTCTGGTATTTTTGCCTTTCCGCGCTCTTTTATGGTTGTTTTCGCGTTTTTCTCCTTTTTCTTTTGTTTGTCTGGGTGGTCCAATTT